GTCTACTTCCCTATCTAAATGTATTGGCTCGCATTGTATCATGCTTATTAATGTATTGAGCCATGGATCTTTACTCCGTAATGGGCAACACAACGTGATGGTAGCTTTGTGTATATGAACATAATTTAGTAGTTGGGCAATTAACTGCCATGGTGGATTAGCCCACGCATTATGTTCGGAGAGGTCTAGATGAAAGGCATCTCCTAAAGGATGATTTAAAGTCCTGGAATTCTTAAGTTGTGCATTATGATGTGCAGCAAACATGTCAACTGTATGTGGCCCAAATATTTTTTGAGCCAGTTCAAACCATCTGGGGTTACATTTCCAATCAGTGGCTAGTAACTCACGTACGGATTTATTAAAGTCCGGTACAAAGCGTAATAACATATCCAATAAATGATTTTGTATCCCTGGTAGATGTTTGATATCAAAATGAAACTTTGATAGTGTATCATGCCATCGGCTCGGTAATTGAGAGTCTGGCTTCATTTCCTTCATATATTGAAGGGACTTCTGATCACACATCAGCGTAAAAGCTGTTCCGTATAAGTAATCGCGGAAGTGTCTTAAAGCTGCTACTATGGCCAGTAGCTCTTGCTTTACAGTTGGATACTTCAACTATGATGCATTCATTGCTCGGCTAAAGAATTGTATATACCTAGGTCTATTATCTATAACCTGGTATAGTACACCTCCGAGTGCTAAGTCTGATGCGTCCGTTGCTATTTCAAAAGACACGCCATCGACTGGTCCTTGTACAGCAGGGGCTTGTTGGACTGCGTGCTTGAGCGCTTTAAATGCGTCATTACACTCTTTAGTCCACAAGTCTCCTAGTTTGCCTTTATGACATCTTCAGTGTCCAAAAGAGTTTAAGATAATAGCCAAGTGTGGTACTCCATCTGAAAAGAAGTTTACAAACCCACACATGCTGTTCACATCTCTTCCTGTAGTTCGTGTTCGCCAATCTAACAGGTGTTCTACCTTACCGGGTCAATTTTTATACCTTCCCCAAGTATACGGTAGCCTAAGAGCTGTATTTCGCTCATGGCGAAGTGACATTTCTTCTCGTTAATCTTAAAGTTTTGTTCGTTGAGTCTCTGAAGGACTCGCCTGACTAATGCGGCATGTTCGCCCTTAGTCTTAGAAAAGATGACTATGTCATCTATATAGACTTGCACGTTAGGCATGTCTGCAAACATTTCCTCCAGTACTTGTTGGAAGAATGCTGGTAAGGAGTACGACCCGAAAGGTGCACCTCTGAACCTGTATTGTTCACCTTTCCAGGTAAAACTAAAGTACTTACGACGGGGTTCATAAATTTGCATTTGATGATACCCCTGAGTAAGGTCTATAGTTGTAAATACTGTAGCACCTTCCATCCTTCGCAGTAACTCGTTTATACGAGGGAGATAGAAACTATGAGTCGGCAATAACTTATTTATTGGACTCATATCTAGACATACTCTGACTTTCTTAAATGTTCCGTCAGAGTTGTGTTGATCAACTGTTAATAATGCTAAATTAACTGGCGTTTTTTGGTAATTGATTTCGATTACCCCATCGGATAATCATTTTTTAGCTTGTTCTTCAACTACAGCTTTGTGTCTCCAAGAAACATAGTTTCTTGAAGGGCATTTGAGCCTAGTAAAGTCTACCTTGGTTAAGTCAAGGCTGACATATCCGTCGTTAAAACGTAAATTTGCCCAATCTGTGATCTTTATCTTCTTACTTTTTAGAATCAGATCCATGATTTTGTCCGCAAAGTCAGGTACTAATGCCTTGACTGTGTCTGACGGGGGCTTATATAGTTTCAGACAGTTTTCGTCTGATTGATCCTTTAATGGATCTATGTTATTTGGTAAACCAGTTACGGTTATACCTAGAGTAAGTAAGTCACTCATTTCGACTATTAAGTCGTACTTCTGTGACATCTTAAATATCACAGCTTGGGTAGTGATATTTCTATCATCGGCCAGGGAGATTTTAACATCTGTGGCCATGATATCACACTTAGAAGTTTTATCATCTGCTAAGATTAGGTGAGTAGTTTGAGTGCGCCTTTTCTGAACCAGGATCAATCAATGCAAGGACTACTTTCCATTGCAATATACAGGTATTGTTACACGCTCGTCTAAAGGGTCGTTATATTTCCTTTGTAACGATTGTGCCTGGTAGTACTTTCACTCCAACTTAATGTCGGGCTTTTTGTCAAGGCGTGATAGCCATCTTAGTAAGAAAGTGTGTACAAGTGGGTGCATGTCTGCCATTCGAATAACCGTTAGGGGTCAATTGATACCTGTCATATCCACACTGTGCGTCGGCACATTTCTTAATCTCCTTAAATGAAGGTTCCTTGTTCTTCGCCTCCGCGCGTGCCCGTTTATTGGGTCGCGTTGATTGAGTGGAGTCACGAGCACGTGTCTGGTTAGGACGCATCTGATGAGGTTTATCAACTGACGTCTGGCGTGAGAGGTATCCTTGATCGGCGTGCTCGCGCGGTTTCTTATTTACCGCCTTTCCCTTCGACGGTGTGCGGGGAAAAGAGTGGATACAGTATCATAAAACTGTTCCCACGTAAGTCGGGATAGATGAAACTTTGTTTCATGTCCCTTGTCTCGAGCCTCAGTAGCGTATTTACGTCGCAACTCGGTGTACAGACTTTCACGGTCGTTGTTCCCTATGTTCTTACAGAAAACATGCATAACCAGGAACTCGTACCATCGCTGCGCCTTGTCCTTTGTTATATCTGGACGTTTAAGGTCAGCATCAAGTTTCAGAATATAACTCTGAATAGGAGTATTCTCAACTGGTTTAGTTAAGATTGAACTCAGTCCTGGACTTCGCATGTCCTTGCTTAATAAGGACGTAACCAACCAACACACAGCTGGCCAGTCACGACAAGTGTCTAACGTGTCGAGGTCATGGTTGTTTATAAACTCGACCTGTCCCTTGTACTTCTGGCTATCCCTGTGGCTTCGCCCACGTTGGGCCTGAAGTAGCTGATCGATGCGCTTCTGCTTGATCGCAATCATATTAGCAAAATATGATACGTCATCAGCACGGTGCTCGTCATGGGCGATTTCCATTTTAATGGTGTAATCGTCGACCAATTTATAAGTTCGGTCACCTCGTCAGAGTGAAAATCCTCTGCGGGCTGGTGTAATTCTGTGCGATCGAAGCGATTAAATTCGACATCATTAACACGTTTACGGGGGTGTTTATTACCCCTTGTAAAGTCCATGGTCGAGGCCTTTCGGTGCTCTGTTCCTCGGATAGTAGTTGGTATTATAATCTTGGGTGATTTATGCGTCTGGATAACATACCCATTCTTAACTGGTTTCCGACGATTGTCATCCCAGTTGGGTAAAGGTGGCGGAGTATTTTTATCTGCCTCTGGGTCTATAATACCCTCAAGGACGGGCGACTCGTGGCCGGGTGTTAGAACAGGCGAGTAATTAGCCTGAAGTTCTGGTGGTAGTACCTCGTAAGGTATAAATACGCTGAGCACACCTGGCTCATCTGCCACAGGTGTAGCGCTCAGGCCTTTTCGCTTTTCGGGCGTAATTGCCTGTCGATGTTCTGTCCACTGCTGCAGGGCTTCAGCAATGCTCGGAGAAACATGCTCGCGTGAGTGCTGCGTATGTTTTCCTGACCTATACATTTGATCTACATGTTCAACAATCATGTCTTTCTTAAGGGTGGCTAACTGATTCTTAAGATCGGTGTTTTCAGTAATTATCTTACTTATGCGCGTTGGCTCAGTGGACTCGGAAGTATATTCGGGTTTGCCACTTGAGCTTGCCTTCTCTTCTGGTTCCGGTATAGGTACCTTCTGAGATTCGTCTTTGTCCCCTATAATTGGTAACTTTTCTTTCTGAATTTCGTCAGAAGAATTGGTTGGGGCGTCTTGAGACGTGTCCCGTACAATCATGCACACAACAACCCCTCCAGCACCCGCCATGGAAGACAAAATAAATGATTCATTGCAAATACATATACAAGGGTTTTAGCGTAGCACAAACTTAAATGCGATCGTCGGATCAACTGGAAGTACTGGTGCCGAAGGTACAGAGAGTGTCTCTACCACCGGTGTCATTTTGAATTTTGAAGGTGAGCTAGAAATTGTATTTTTGGATGGTCGAACAACCAACCTAAGAACGGCTGTTGGAGCCGATGGGGAGACAGGACCAGCCGGTATTTCTGGTGTATCTGTCCAAAATGTTGCGCTAGACGGGGACGGAGATTTAATTGTTACACTGGACGATGATATTACCCGTCACGCAGGATCGGCTGTTGGACCAACTGGCGCAACAGGCCCCGGGTACAAACACGGATGGCGAGCTAGTGCTCATCGATGAAGAGGGTGTGCTACAGAATGTGGGACAGGTCAAACCACAGGAAATTATTAACGCTGAGGTTAGCCAGGTAGACTTCCACTTACGCCTGTACTTTGACGATGAGGCGGTTATCGACGCCGGGTCAGTACTGCCACTTGGGACAGAGTTTTCTGACTACTTGTACTGGGATCCGTCTGCGGGACAACCCTAAATTAATTATTCAAGTAGCAAAAAAAATCTATAAAATCTGCCTTATTCTCTATATTTTCAAAATTAATTCGATCAGACAAAACTCGTTTTGCAGTAAAAAAAAAAGGACGATTCTATTTTTCAAAATGATAGTTTCTCGGGAAGCCTACTTTGACTATGTGGCGCATCGCGTTAAACTCTTTGGAAAGCAAGCACATCACCGACCAGACGTCGGCAATCATGAATCTCTTACACGCCTTCGAGCACTTGGCACAAATACATCCTCAACAAAGGTGTTTACCCCAAGACTCCCTCCTGTCGTCAGCATAACTGGCCCGGAAACATAATCACCGCGCTACAGTTATGCAGCGAGGGGGTAAACGGGCTTCTGAAATTTCAGCTCTTAGAGCAGCACAACACTACTCGAATGCTGACTCGCGTATGCTGGACTTTGAGTGTCGCCGTACAGAGCGAGATCCTCAAACATCGAAGCCGTCGCATAGTTTTCGTTTGATTAGGCTCAGGCGATGCTAACACATCGTCTTTCAAACTCTTTGATTTTGTTTAGCATGCTATCCATTAGTTTTGATACAGTCGGGTCGTGAAAAAAATGCATCGTTACCAATAGAGTCAGCGAACCCAACAAGGCTATCTAAACTCGTGCGTGTTGAGAAATACGCTTCGTCACAGTTGTACTCATTTTTTGGTTCGCACGCACTAACACGCATGGTCCACATAAGGTACAGGTATCGCATACACTTGACGGCGTCCACAGCGGTTTTAAATTCGCGGGATTCGGGAAATTCATTGTTATACACATTATCCAGCTTGTTGTAAGAGTTATTTCTCTCATATACCCACGTCGCACAAACACGATTACAACACCTTGTACACGATGTTCTTGGTTGGGAAGGCCTGCGCGTGCATATTCGGATGATTAGCCGTGTTTGTGAGCCACGTCAGTGCTACATCCGCCGCCTGAGACTCTAGCGCTGCTGCAGCAGCCGGAACGCACTGTCGTCATCTCTGCGAGCTGGATATTAGATTTTTTTTGTTTGTTTGAAATTACTAGCGCTCCAGGGGGCGAATGCTCGGTCTTAGTGGCAGTCAATGAGATGTTTAAGCTGCTGGCGGTGTCGGCGTTTACACCGACGATGAAGACTGCACGTGGCGCAATCAGGTTCGTAAGGGAGCAGATCTTTCCTTGGGGCTTACCTGTGAGGGTAACAGTGGATGATGGAACAGTGTTTGGCAATGTTCTTTTCGTTGAGTTTGGTCAGAATAATGGATTTCAGGTTCACTTTACTTCCGTGGGTCACCATGAGGGAAATGGTAGTGCAGAACGAGCGATTCACACGATATGAGTCATTGACTTATCATGATTGGGTCGAGTGTGTTTATGATGCGGCCCTAGCGTACAATGGTGGTACCCAGATGGGATTCTCAACATTCGTTGCGCATACGGGTAGAATCTATGACGACCCCCAGCGATTGGCTCTTCAGACTAAACTAGAAGAAATGCAAATGACGGATGTGCTGGGTTGTCTGCAGTAATACGGGACCGCGTTGTTACCCGCCTGGATGAGCGGAGATGAATAACGCAAAAATGTGATGCAGACAAAGCACGCATAGATTCACCGCGCATTACGATGGGCACACAAGAAAGGTTTTGGAAAGACATTGGTCATCATAAGTTGAGGGCTAAATGATTTGCACCAGCGGTGGTTGTCGGGCATGAAGGTTCAGTTGTACATTTAATCAAGTACAAGAACAAGACGCTCAAACTAAATCGGACGTATATTGATTACTTTTATGATGAACGACTCTCAGGGGATGTGGCTATGGATAAATAACGGCATATG